CAGCTGAGCCCATCAGCCAAGTGACTGGCACCATTTTGGAACCATATTTAAGAAAGGGCAACAAAAAAAGCCACAAGATAGAGAGAGGAAGGAGGAAAAACTGGCCAAGGTCAGAGAAATACCATGGCAGGGCAGGTATTCCCCTGCAGCAAAAGGGGAAAGATACTGGTTTAATGTTTATCTCTTTATTTCTCACTACCCAAATCTATTTTAACTGCCAATAAATCCATTTTTAGTGTTTTGCCTGCAACAGTAATCAATAACATCCCTGACTTTTGACCCTACAGCTCTAGAAATCTATTCCCTGCCCCAAGCCATTGAGGATGGGGAGTGAGCCAGCAGTTGGGTGGGTGTTTGCCTCTTGGCCAAGACTAACCCATCCCATAACTTTTCACAAAAATAAAGAAATTAAAAGTTATTGTGACTCTGCCTTTAAGCGTTGGTGCTGTTTAACTGGTACCACACAAGGGGGCCTAAAGGAGAGATGGGGAAGGACTCTTGATCAGGGAGTGTAGTGATAAAATGAGGTGTAATGGTTTTAAACTGAAAAAGGGGAGATTGAGATGAGATCTCAGGAAGAAATTCTTTGCTGTGAGGGTGGTGAGAGCCTGGCCCAGGTTGCCCAGAGAAGCTGTGGCTGCCCCATCCCTGGAGGGGTTCAAGGCCAGGTTGGAGGGGGCTTGGAGCAACCTGGTCTGGTGGGAGGTGTCCCTGCCCAGGGCAGGGGGGGTTGGAAGAACTCTATGATGTTCAAGGTCCCTTCCAACCCAAACCATTCTACGATTTTATGAACTCAGCAGGAGCAAGCAGAAGGAGGAACCGGCACATCGGGGAGTGGATCCGGGGCCACACAAAGGCAGGTGAACGATCCAGGAAACAGCATCTGGAGGCAGAGGACGTTTCACACACTGAACCACTTTGCAGCCTGAAAAAGCACAGAACCTGCTCAAAGAGATCAGAAAGGCCTTCGGAATACCCAAAAGCATAGACCTGTGAGCAATGACAGGCAAAGGCAAAATCGCTTTGGATGAAGACAGAAAGCAGGCACGAGGACACGCTGAAAATCCCTCCCAGCCAAAGAATCTGCTTGGTTTTATACAAATTCTTAAAAGAAGAACATACACAGAACACCATTGCTGAACTAACCCAGCTTGGGGTATTGGCAGGTAAACTGCAGCACAGACCCACACTTAATACAGTATCTTGCTGCACGATTGTTTCAAAAGACTGTTTAAAACCTAAGCTAATTTTGAAACCCACCAACTCCGTGGATCTTGAATCTTTTCTTTGGCTACATTTTTAAATATCTCTTTTTCCATTAATAACTCAAGAGTTCCTTCAAGTAAAAAATAGGTTTATATTTTCAGCGCTTTGCAGTTGATATGCCCAGCAGCTAACACAATTAAATTTTCAGAAGTTCCACACACAGCACCAATTCTGCTGCAAATCATTCTTTAAAGAAAAAAAGGTACCAAAATAGCATCTAATTTTCAGTGAAGGACAGCTTCTGCATGCTCAAGTGCCTTGTTAACAGGGAGAACTTCTGCAAGTCTTTCCCTCTTCACATTTCATCTTCAAAATTCAGTAGCGTGGACCTACAACAGGGCACTAGAAATAATTCTGGTGCAATTCCTTCCAGGTTAATAATTGCTTTAGAAGCATGAACTTTCCTAATAGTTCATCTGAAAACATCAGATTCAGGTTTGTTTCACACTACTTTCAGACTTATCAATGCAAAACCAGCTTTATAAACAAGACAGACAAGAAAAAAAATATACGTATTGCTATCTAAATCAGCATTTCCCGCTGCCCCCCTCCCAGTGCAATCAATATTCTCTTTTCAGGGTTTCCCCCTCTTGGACAAAACAGACAAAATATGAACAAGAAGAACCAAATCAGCAGGAAACTAAGCAGAAAATAAGGTACCCACATCTGTATTTTAAAAAGGATGGTTTAAATGAACCAGATTTTGAGCTGGGGATCGTTACTGTGAAAATACTCAGCCTGTTTTTAGCCTCCCCAGCGGAGCAGCTGGTGGGAACACACCAGACAGCAGAAGACCATAACCTTACAAATCAAACGTGCCAGCTCCAGAGCTCCTGCTCACCACCATTTCGTCACCAAATTGCTACCAAATCCCTCTCCTGAAAGCCGGCTGAAGCCTGCTGGCCTGAAAACTAAATTACCAAAGCAATAACCAAGCTCCATCAGCCTGGTCTCTCCCCATTTAACATCTCTCACTAATTCTCCACGAGCTTGCAGGAAATAGTTTCAAACAGCTCCCTCAAGAAAATAAGTTTCAAGCCTTAGGTTTTTTTCCATTCTGAGCCATCCCTGCACTATTTCATAGCTCTGATAATTGTACCACTGACTAACCTCCAACTGGGAATAGCTGTTTTTATCATCACTATTAAAAACAGTCCCTCACACTGTTAGGAATCTGGAAACTCACTGGAGCTGCATCCCACCCTTCGGCCTCTCAAAACACTACAGAGCCATGAAACTATGTGCTGAAACCAGAGGATCCCTGCGCTGAGCAACTCCTGTCATTTCTGGGTAATTACAACCCCTTCCCAAATGAAGGCAGCCACAGAGGTTTGGTTATTGATTTTAGAGGGGCAAGTGCCATGAGAGCTTAGAAAGTCAAAGTATACTTATGGTTTCCCCATACTGGACAAGTTAAATTATTTTCGGATATATAGCAGTGACACGCGTGTTAAAAAGCCTCACAAATTCACCTAGTTTGGTAGGTTTTGTGTTCTGGTGTATTTTTAAAAATTAAAACTATTAATCTGCAGTTTGCCTTTCCTAAAACCACATTATCTTGGTTTTTAAACCTCAGCCAGAAGAATTACTGACGGCTCTCAGAGAAGTAGCAAGATAAAAAAATAAATAAAAAAAAACAACCCCACAGTTGAAAGAGGAGTGGATTTAAAAAACAGCTTTTAATTATCTGAAGGTACAGTTGCCAAGTAGACAGCAAAGAGGGAGGCTCTGCAGCACATACAGATGGGAAAATTCCCCCAGGTTTATTTCACAGTCAATTACAGTGGATTAACCTATTAATATGAGCAAAATATATATTTTATCTTTTTTTTTTTGGATGCAAGTTTCAACAGCTTGAAAAAAATCATCGCCGCTTGTACTTTGATACACAGGATCAGCAATCTGTTTTATCGCGCTTCCAAATCATCACAATCCATAAACACACCCTACGAGCAACCTCTCCCTCTTTTTTTTAATGCATCTTCTGTCGTTATTTCTTTCTCAGGGAACGGCATCCCTCTTGGCTTCCTGCCTCGAGTACCATTTTATACATCTGTTATGGTATTTTATTTTATTTTTTTTGTATTGTCGTTAAAGAGAAGCGTCAAACATCTCCGACCCCTTTCAGACATACCCTTGCACAAACTCACAGGTGCTTGTATTATTCACTTCTGCCTCTGGGAGATGTCACCACAGGACACATTTGTCCAAGAGAAAAGCATCGCGGCACCCAAGAGCAGCTTTCCAGGATCCCTGTGCTAAATACTGGGTGTGCCTACTTTTGTTTGGTATCAAGTTCCTCCTGCTGGCTCTGCTGCAAGAGCAAACGCCATGGATAGTTAAGTTTCCTCCCACCTCCCAAAACATCTGGTCTTTTTCGAAGTTCTCCAGACTTCCTTCCCCTTTACCGTATCACAAAGCCTCTCTTTTTTAGCAGGGCTGCCTTCTTGGTAGTCCATCACCGTTATCTTCTTGTTCGCTGCAGAGCAGCCTGAATCACTGGATCTCACAGAGCTTCCAGCTCTTTTTCAACTCAAGGCCAGGCACCCAATTCAAGCATCCTGATTTAGAGAGAGGGTTGTTAAAACTCCTTCCCTCCCTCTTTTTTTTTTTTTTTTTTAACACTCTACAGCTTCCTGTCCTGGGAGGCAACCAAGCTGCTGTAAGAAATGCCAGTTTCTGTTAAATATCCTCAATTCCTGTGACACCGAACATTTAAAACAATTACGTTACTTCCAAATGTTGCACCAGAACAGCTTTTATTCCACCAAGTGCAGAGAGGAGCAAAAATTACTTCAGCACGAAGGAGTTTTAGTGGGTTATTTGCTGAATCCCACAGCATTTCAAGTTAACATTCAGGCTTGGCACGACCGACCATCCGCTCCAACACACAGCACAATGTCACCCCTCAAAACCCCACTGTTCAACCTAAAGGCACTTCTTTTTATTTTTATTTTAAGGGTGCGTCAGCTGCTCACTGAAAGTGGGAATGCTTCATTTAGCACACACACTTGTTAAACTGCTCACAGCATGCAAATAAAATACCGCATTGTGCAAAAGTCATTCAGTCTCCCCATCCCTAGATATGAGCAATGGAACCGCGTCCAGGAAAAGAGAAACTTGGAACAAAATGCCAAGTATTTCAGTCCCTTTTTCCCAATATTCACATTCTATGCTAAAGCCCACATCCCTGTCATGCCCAGGGGTGACAACGTTGAGAATCTGCTGTATGTAACGGGTGGGAAAACGACCATTATCTCTCTTGCCCCTGTACTGCACCCTTTTATTTGTAGTTATTACTGCAAACTGCTTTTTTTTCCAGACAATGGTTGTGTTATTATAGGTACCTTCATGCCGTGCCAAAGCACATACACACAGCAATTCAGAACAATCAGCCTTGTTTTCATGGGAGCAAAGGTTGCAGCCAAATGAAATGGGTGGAGATCACATTAAACAATCTTGGAATCTGCTAATAGGATATAGGAAAATGTGACCATAATGCAGATGCAGAGTTCCCCTTTCACCTTCCAATGTTATGGATAAAATAAAAGCTTTGGAAAACCAATTAAACTGTTTGAACAACATGAAGCAAGTCAAAGTGTTCTCAGCGTGCTTACAAGACCACTGAGAAGTTCTTTCAAATTAAAACAAGAAGGTGCCCTTTTCAAAGCTCTGACACCAGAGAGCAAGTTTCCCCACCCCAAAACACCACCTGTTTAAAAGAGAGAGGATACCTGCGAGATCTCTGCTTATCCACGGTAAGGAGAAGCTCATCACGTCAACTGGTCCTGTCTTAGAGACATGATGGGCCCCTCCTCTAAGAGGGGAATTTTCATACCGAAGCACCTTGCTTGGTCAGCTGTAACCTGCATTACCCTTGTTTGCTTTTGAGATGTGCATTAGTCAGCTTTCTCCTTCCCAAATCTGATCCTGCCTCTCTGCATGATCATACGCTGAAGTCATGTCCTTGAGTCTGTGACATCAGTCTGTTGCCACGGCAACATTCCAGGGCAGTCCAAAATTCAGTATTATGGCATCACTGCAGGATCAGACAGCAGAGCAAAGCCAACGCCTGAGAGCTGCTTAATGCAGCACAAAAAGCTAAGACTTTTTGCAATCTAAACGTTAAAGTAGAACTGCACTTTATCATGAATATTCCTCACAAATACGGCTGGAAGCAGTTAAGATGATCCAGAAGGTCATTAAAGTTGAAGACAACCAGGCAAGCCATCACGCGTCACTAAAAAGAAGGGCAATATGTTTCCAAGGATGGCCACCAAGTCTGAAGAAAGCTGAGCTCAGCTCTCCGAATAGAAACCACCATCTGTTCCTAAGGCAACACCAGACCTGCCTACAGAGATCGTTCCCCGAGAAACAGGGATGGCCCCAGGCACCCCAGATCAAGTGCTGGGTTGCACACAGGTTTTCTGGAAAGCAGAGACCGGAGTGTGACAGCCCTGTCACCCCTTTGGAAGGGACAGCATTACATAAGGGCATGGTTCCTCAATTTCAAGCTTTGAAGCAAAGACCAGTGCATCATTAAGCCATCCTATAACAAAGTCACATAGTTAAAAAAGGGCGGTACCTTCAAAGAGCTGTTATTCCATGTAGGGTTAGACATTACAGTTCTGTAGGTTCCTTGCACACTCACGAGAATGGCATCTCTGAAGAGCAAAAGGGAAGGAAAAAGGAAGTTAGTGTCACGGTAACCATGTTACAACTACTAACCAGCTCTTAAAACCCAAAAAGATCCAGTTTGCCCAGTGCAAAGGGCACGAGGGAACAACAATCAATGCACAGCTGACATGTGGAGCACCACCAGTTTGAGCAGATCTTCAGTGCCAACTGACAGTACACCCCAAAGAGAGTCCAGCAACTACAACCGAAGGTAGCTGCCCTGCCACAAGGAGAAGTCCCACTGCTGGGTGGCCAGGCAGAAGCTGCTTTGGCACCATGGGAGCCCAGGCTGCAGAGAGAACAAAGAGGAGAGACCACAAACCTCCCAGTAGCCACGCTGGACCCCTTTCTTTACCTGTTCCTCCATTCTCATCAAGCACACAAGTTTAGGAGTCTGGGTACGGATTCCTACTCACTGAACACCCCAGCTCCTCAAGACTCTTCGGTGCCATCGCTTTGATGCGTTCAGCCCCTGTGTAAACCTGGCCACTCCCTGTACACTTGACTGGTTCCAGTTCATCTCCTTCCGCTTTCTCTTCTTAATCCACGTGTCTCCTCTAACTCACTCAACGCAACTCCTTCTGCAAAGCTGACCTTCATCCTTCCTATAACCTCAGACGCGCCCACAATTTCTTCACAGGACCATTAACAAGCTGTGGGCACAAGGAACATCTCACGTTCTCCACACCCTCACCCTCTCCTCACCCCTCCGCCCAGGTCCTTGGCTAGAATTCCCCCCTGCCTGGTTATCTAATTCCAACACAAGCCTCGGGGCTGGGACCCATTGTTTATTTGTCTCTGCAATGCCACACACCCCGGTGGTGTTGGATAAATAAATTCCACAACCTGTTTGAGCCTGAGCTTGATTCAGACCTGAATGATACCAGTTTCTAAATGACTGGTGCAAATACCTTCGCTGGCTTTAGCAACAGCAGCTTACGCAATTAGCCCCGGTGCCAAACATCACGACGGCTAATTGCTCCCAGGGATCACAACTGCAGAGAAAACAAAAAAATTAAACCCCTCTACTTATACATACAAATTGCAAATTATAAAGGGAAGAAGAAACACGCTGCTCTCAGTGGCTAATTGCTCCCAGGGATCACAACTGCAGAGAAAACAAAAAAATTAAACCCCTCTACTTATACATACAAATTGCAAATTGTAAAGGGAAGAAGAAACAGGCAAGAGGCGGGCTGCTCTCAGCGTGAGGACACCTGAATGACAAGTTCCACGTGCCAACGGCACCTTCTCAACCACCAAAGCATCCACGGCTTTGTCCATGACCTCAGCCATGAGAAGACCCAGCAGGTTGCCCAGCTGAAAGGCTGAAGTACCGCGGGGGCTGCGATTCCGGAGGCAACTTTAGGCCAAATGGATTTCAGAGCAAAATAAAGCCAGCAGGCTTCATCTCCATGGAGCTCCTGCAACATAACACAGGCTGAACAAGCTACTCAGGGCAGAGGTCTGTCTTATTAACTACCCAGTAAATTCAGATTAAAGCCGGACAGCTTTTTCCCCCTCCCTCTGCAGAAAGATCAGATGCTGTCCAGCCCCAAGGAATCAGTCCAGCTTCTGCAATAAGGAAAACTTGTTCACAGCTACATGACACCACACACAATCTACAGGATTGTGGCTCTTCAGGTGCCCATTAAGCTTTTTCCGCAGAAAAGTCTCCAGTACCGGATAATTTGCCTTCAATTCATTTTCATTGTAACAAATTACTGGATATTGCAGAACCACGAGTAACCCCAGTGCACCCATCCCAGCTCATGGATGCAAAGACCTGTGGCCACTCGTCATTTCCCCTCCCAGCCATGGGTGCCATGGGTCGGCCAACTCAAGCCACCCTACGTCGCTTCAGAGGGTCCATCAAACCCCGAGGCCAAACTCAAGCAAGAGCGGAAGGAAGCACCGAGGCACATTTCAAGCATTAAAAGGTAAATAAAGGCTGGAGAAGAGCCAAGGGCTGGATGGCTGCTGTGGAAGCCGGGTCAACAAACATCAAAGAGGAGAAGCAGAGCACGGGGAAGGCAACTTCACCATCCCAAATGGCCACAAAGAGCCTTCTCAACTTGGACAGGCCCAAAAGCAATTCCAAAACACTAAGCACAGCACTGGGAAGGTGAAGAGACCATTTTGAGATGTAGGATTAGCTTTTTTTCCCCACTGGAGAAAGGGAACACAACCACACACAACCCTTCAACAACCAACAAGGCAGAATCCATCACTGTGGGTTTGAGACACATGTGAGAGACATCATTTTATCAGCCAGCCATCCACCTCAGCGCAGGAGACACAAAGCTCTTGCTCTAAGCAGCAGTGCTTCCAGAATCCCAGACTGGCAGGGGGTCAGAAGGGACCTCTGGAGATCATCTTGTCCAACCCCTGCCAAAGTAGGGTCACCCAGGAACACATCCAGGCAAGTTTTCAACATCTTTTATTACCTTCACCATAAGGATACAGGTGGAGGAGCTCTACCCACTGGTAGGAAGGAGTTGTGCTTTGCAGACCCTTCCTCTGATCAGCTACAGATTTTCACAGGAATAAAATATTTTCCCCTCTATATCAGTGAAGAAATATTGCCTTAAAAAAAACAGGTGATGTGGTTCATCTCATTAAAAAAAACCCATATTGTTCATATCAAAGCGTGGATCCACTCCAGTGCACAACGCACGGGCTCATTTGCAAAGCATGGTTGGGTTTTTACCTCTGAAAGCCACTCTAGACATGCAAGACCCCAAGTTTTCTTTCCCAAGACATTTCACCTGTCAACAACTCTCTCTCCTAGTGGGGCTGCCATCCTCCCATCACCCCGGCTTGAGTTACCATGCTTACAGCAAAAAGCAGCCAGAGCCAAGAGCATCCTGCCTGGAGTCCAAGCAGAGCCTGCAAGAACAGACCCCCTTTGGGGCAGCCACAGTTGAGCTCAATTTAAGGCAAAAATCAAACTATTTTTCCATTCAAGTCAAAAGCAGAGACGAAGTATGCAGCTCAGACTGCAAAGTCAGCTGTCTTTTTAGGACTAGATCAGCTTTAACAGCTCTATGGCAGACCAGAAAGAGTCAGCCTGACAAGTTCAAGCTTTGCCCAGCGCTACGTTACGCAAAATCCAGGCACTTGTCCCTGGTACATTCAGAGCCTTAAGCCAGTACCTCAAAATCATAATTTTTTGGAAACATCTGTTCCAAGAAGGCATTTGATCAGGATTGAACCTGCTGCACCAATGCACTTTTATCCTCTTTCAAAAGACAGACAAAACACCTCTCTGAAGCTCTGCCCAGTAATTCTCTTTGGCATCATACAGGTTGCATAGAATGCAATTTCTACACTGGGGAACAGAAACTACCCAGTTCTGCTACAGTTTCCTCAACGTGACCACTCTCACCACAGGGATTTATATTCTGAAGCAGCAGACTCGGTGGCAGAGGTGAGCTCAGGCTGTTTTACTTGCCTGTTCAGGACCTAATGCAGACCAAAAAACTAATGAACACGTATCGCTACGGAAAGGAAATACAATTTAAGTGTTCATTGGTCTATATCGAAACCCTTCGAGACATCCAACGTCAAAGCTAAACAGATCCTCACCTGGCAAACTACATAGAAAGCCTTCAGCTCGAGCTGCCAGGTAAGGGAACGTAGGATTTGGGGCTATTTTTGCTCCATACACTGGGGAAACACCTCGAACATGCACTGAGAAGCATCGTGACAGCTGCAAAAACAACTCCGTCCTGGCTAACATTCGCATAACGAAATTACAGTTTCACTCCAGGGGAAAAAAAAAGGGAAAAAGCACTTAAGTTTTGTTTAGATTAAAGTGCTGCAAGCCACGCCACTTAGCTGCTATCAGAGCAGATTGCTGGGCTGCTCCAATGATTATTCAGTAATGAAGTAACTGGAATTGGAAGGTATGCAATTAGTCCCATCTCCTCCTCCTCCTACCCCCTAGAAAGAGAAAAAAACCAAACCAGCACAGACGTTATCACCTCTCCCTCTGGCTCTGCTACCCTCAGCACTTAAAATACCTATAAAGCAAAGTAGAGCTGTCGCTTACAAGCTGTTAACAAGCCTGGCTGGGCCCTGACTGGCAGCAAAGGTGAGATTCTCAGCATCTCCCCAGAAGAAAGTTACCGGTTTACTTAATGGGATGTTTTCTCAGGTACCCACACATGCATACATTAACCTTAACATGCCCACATTTAGCTATTCCAGTAAAAGCACACCACTTTTCAGAGCAAAAAAAGCCCTGGT